TGTGAAATTGAGATGCCACACACTTAACAAAACGTCCAAGTGTTCAGTTTAATAAATGTATTTATTTTAAAAAACAATTTTATAGAATGCTATGATATTTTCAAATTCTTACAAAAAATAAGTCTTCTCAACAACTGCATGTAGAAAGAAAATAAATATCACCGATGAAAACCAATTTTGTACTTTGCGACACGTGTTTTGTATAATATGGATCCTTTTGTGATCAAGCGTTTATCAAATTTAAAAAAACTGGTCCCACTAAAAAGCACAAAACATTGGCAAAATGACCATTGAGAAAGAAGTGGTTGGAATGTTAATATATGGACCATCATTGCACCACGTTTCACTCACTTTTATACTGGTGCTTAATTATGTCGTCCCGAACGAAGACTGGGACGACATCTTGCGATAGTACGCATGTTTTTTGTTGTCCGGGCTGTTTCTCGAACATGGTTGGGACAATCTTCCTGTAACTTTTCTCATAGGACGACCACTGGTTGTAGTTGTGCCAGGTGGTCATTCAATTTCAAAATGGCTTCCGTTGCCTTGGAAATCTACAAAAAGCGACGAATTTGGTCTGCAAGTGTTCTCTGTGGTCCCTTGAACATTCCTCATAAAACTTTTTTATTTTAGTGATTGGTAAGTGTAGTTGTGCGATTCGCATTCAAAATTCTCAAATAATCGATTATTGCCATGGAAACTATAGGAAGGTGAAAATTCTTTAACTTTGACCTTTTAATCAAAGTACTGAAAGGACTGATACGAATTGATGGTTGTCAAAGCTTAGCTGATGGGAATTGTTGATTTTGTGATACAAAAAATGATATTCTTGTCCGAAATGATCAATAGTTGCCATGGAAATAGAGGAATAGTCCGGGGCGACATACGCTATTGCTAGCAATAGTAGACTCTCTAGTTGTACTTGTGCTTGTATATGGTATTACTTTTAAAAATAAACAAACAGTATCAAAATTTAATCATTTAAGCACATTTTGCTTTATGTTGTACGTCATTTTTCATCGATCACCAAAATAACACAATTTGAAAGTTTTTAACAAAATTCAACCAAACCAGAAGTGACCTTGATCTTCGTCTGAGGACAAAATTTCGCTTCACACCAGGGTAAAAGGGTGGTAAATTATCCAGAAACAATCTTCGAAACATGAAAACAAACAATTTCAATCGTACAAAAATGTTTTTAAAAAATGGTCCTCGTGACAGTCTAATATCAGTCTAAGTAGTCTGAATCAGTGCACTTAAATGCTTCACACCCTATGATATTGAATACAAGGCATCCGTGTGAAGATACACTGTCCAATTCCCGGATCTGAATCCCATTGAATACATTTGAGATTTTATGAGAAAAGTCAAAGCCCTCCCTTTCCACACAATTTCGACGGTTTGGAAAGAACTATACAGTAGTGGGTGTGGAAGCAGATGGGTCAATCTCTTTTTCAGGGATACATGTTACCCAACAGTAAAGATTGTCTTGAAGTAATTAGAGCGAGTGGTGGTCCTACTCCATAAAGATTTTTTGTCTGAATTTCCATTTTGAGGATACATCATTTCCATGACACTTTGCTTAAAATTCTGACAAGATACTTACATGAAATTTAGACTTAAATATGCATTATCAACCAAGAGTTAAAGAAATCATTTATTGTTTGCATTTGTTCTTTAAAACTTTAAAAATGTAAGGTGAACACTTAGAAGTTTGGTCAGTGTTCATAGTATATTTCACCATTTGGAAGCGAAAAAAATCAGCAAACGTAAATTGGAACTTGCAGAAACTGGTAAACTATAGATAAATCTATTCAGTTTCCTACATATACTTATCTGAACTTAAAGGCTTAGCCCCCCCCCCCTACTTTTTTCCAAATATATACTTAGTATAGACATTGAACGTACCTCGTTTCGTAGGTTTAGCCCCCCCCCACTTTCCACTGACACCTCGCCGTATAGGTTAAAGATGGGTAAAGTTTTGGTGATTGGAAAAAATTAGGTACAAAAGTTCGACCCTCCCCACGAAATAGGTTTTTCGCCTTTTGGAAAATGGTCATCTTTTTTTCTGTTTGCTTATCAGGGTTTTTTTTTTGAAGGTTAAAAATATTTAATTACATTTAGCTCCCCCCCCCCTAACTTTCAAATTGCTTCCGACGCCAATGGAAAGTAAACGTCAGCAGCAATGTAAGATTGGACAATTTACTGAGACTAACACAGAAAGCAGTGAAATTTACTAGGTTCTTTCTGATGTTATCAGGAATTTCGAAATGGAAGAAATTGGTCGTTTGGAAGACTTTTGTGCATAAATGAAAAACACCAAAACATGGCAATATTGCATTCCACTTGTTGCTTGATATCCGCCAGTTTTATAAACAAAGGACGGTTTATAACATGAAATATAATGATGAGTTGCTATCATTAGGTAACGGTTGCAAACCTGTTTGAAGGGCGAAATTTGTCTTTTTTATCAGAGCAGGACTAGGACTTACAAAGTAATGATGGTCGCAACATTAATATTATTCCTGAAGATGCAAAATAAACTAGATAGTCGCAATTATAAATAATTATTTTGATATAAATAATTGCAATTGCTACTTTTTTCAAGATTTTTTAATAAATACTTTCATTTGTTTAAACATTCTAAATCAACCGTGGCTTCTCTTATCAATAAGTATTAAATCAATCAAATTTAAAACTTTTCAGTTCTTTTTTATGACCTCCATTCTGAATAGTATAAGATCTTGTATAATGTAATCTGTATTGAACATCTATTACTGATGTTGAATAAGATATTTTCGTCTTAATGGATTTTTTACATATACTACGGTCATCTCTATGATTATATTACGGTCGTCATCTGTGTTGTTATTACGGTCATCATAGTCAAAAACTTTGACGTTGTACTACAGCTTTATTTCTTTAAATTCAAGTAAGTTATAATAACCAATAGCAAGTTTTCATTAGTGTACATTTAAATTTGGCAAGAATTAACAGAGATAGTCTGGCAAATGTTTAAAATCTTGACTGAAAAATTCTAACCGGTGACCTCGGTCGACATGTTTTGATGACCGTAGTATATACTACGGTCAGCCGCTTTCCTACAGTGATTAGGTAGCAGATTAGATGTTGACTTTTTCTTCAACATTAAAGGAAAGAAAATGTTTTTTTTTTACTAATTTTATCGCAATTTTCCCATGTCCTCTAATGCAGTCATCCCATGCGCGGATGTAGAGGGGGGGGGGGGGGTCGGGGGGGTCCTGACCCCCCCTGGAATTTACCAGGTTAAAAAATGTATATACTATAACAAGAAAACAGTTACCAGGAACCCCCCTGGAAAACTCAGACCCCCCCTGGTAAGCGTGAACATGTGTGAAGTGGGAAAGATAAGTGAAAGATTTGAAGCAATAGACCCCCCTGGTAAGCGTGAACATGTGTGGAGGGGGTAAGATAAGATTTTTTTTTTTGCTTGTCAAGAAATTTCTGATATTGGAATTTTTTTGGACTGAGGTGGACCCCTCCTGGAAAAAAATTCTGGATCCGCGCCTGCATCCTTTGTTAAAACTTTCAAATATTGAGGCGAGATATACCAAGTGCACTAGATCATATAATAGAGATTCATAAGTACTCTGTATTTCTTCTCAAAATTAAAAGAAGCAAATACTTCAAGGATTTTCCTCAGACAAAAAAAGTTATAGAGATGCAGCTGTAGAGATATAGACAGGGTGATTCTGTTCTTCATATGCATGGGTAATATTACAATTATATTACAGTTAATCTCTGTCCGTAATTTTAATATTTTTATTCTATATTTCTACGTATTTGAGGATAGATTTCTCAGGTATTTAAATCACATGACAAGGTAAAAGGTTATACCTAGACAGAAGAAAAGGAAGTAAATTGTTATGTACGACATTATCGTGAGGCCATATTGGATTAGAGGTGAGAAAATATCATACGTAGATAATTTAACATGCTGAGAGACATTAAATTTTCCAGATGTCATTTATGATCTCATGTTTAGTATATTTATACATTATCTGAATGCATTACAGAGCCACTTAAGATAATTCTGTATGGAAAGCCACAGGGGACCCCCAAGTCATGTTCTATATATTCATAGTAATTCAATTTTTGGCTTTCATGTTCAATATATTCATAGTAAATCAATCTTGGGCAGTCATGTTAACAATCCCGGCCCAGTCATGATCGGCAACACGGGACCCCCAAGTCATGTTCTATATATTCCTAGTAATTCAATCGGTCATGTTATTATTGCAACTCTGACCAAGTCAGGTTTGGTTTGATTGCATTATATGGCCTTAATTCTTATCTTTGCCAGTCATGATTTGACAACCCTGGCCTAGTCAAGACATATCCAATGTTTTACATCTTGACTAGGCCATGATTTTCTATCCCAAGATTGCATTTTCCAAGATACATTACTTCCAAACGCAGTCAAGATTTACTTCCCAAGATGTTATAGGACCGAGATTCGGCCAAGATAGCATTACGACAAAATATCCTATCCCATACGCAGGCAAGATTTATGGTCATGATTGCATTGCACCAAGATTGAATTACTATGAATATATATAACATGACCGCCCAAGATTGAATTACTATGAATATATAGAACATGACTTGGGAGTCCCGTGTGGCCGATCATGACTTGGCCGGGATTGTAAATATGACCGCCCAAGATTGAATTACTATAAATATATAGAACATGTCTTGTGGGTCCCCCGTGGCTTTCCATAATACTGAATACATAAATTGTTTTGATTGCTACGTGGTGTTTAGTTTTTCTTCAAAACATTTTTTTAAACATAAAGGCATTTTTCAACTACAAAAATACCAAATTCTTCGCCGAACAGTTTAATTTAAAACTCTTACATTGTACATGTATTTGTTTAAAATAGCGTAAAATATCTGTAGTCAGTGTCTCATTTTATTTTATACAGGGATATCTGTTTCCTTTTTTGACAAAACCCCAAGTAATGGACCCCCTGGACAGAGCTCAGGTACTCCTTATCTGCGACCTGTGTAAAAGAGCTGCACTACAGAGTCATTGTGAACTTTGTCAGATTAATCTGTGTAAGGCCTGTGTTGGGGAGCATCTCTCTGATTCATCCAAAAGACACAATGTTGTACCATACAAACACAGAACTTCTAATCCCAACGTTAACTATCCAATTTGTTCAAAACACATCCAGAAACATTGTGAACTCTATTGTGAGAAATGTGAGATCTGTGTCTGTTCTACCTGCCTCTCCTCTGATGAACACAAAGGGCATAATTTGACAAATGTCTATCAGAATCCAACCTTCATTAAAGAAATTCTAAACAAGGATTTGAAAGAACTTGAAAAAAGAATACTTCCAACATATGAAGAAATTGCATCAGACTTAAACACTGAAAAAGTAAACTTAGTGGAAAAACATTATGAGAAACTGATAACAGAGGTCAACAACAAAGGGGCAGACTGGCACAGAGAAATTGATAACATAGTCAACCAAAAGAAATCTGAAATTGATGAAATGAAATCTAAACATCTGGCTGTTCTAAATAAAGAGGAAAATGAAATCAAACAAATAACTTTAGATTTAAAACAGAGTATCCATGATATGAAGAAAATCCTTGACTCCGATAATATCTCCCTAACCTCTGCTTACAAATCCAGGAATGCTGAATTCAGAAGTTTGCCTCCAAAAGTCAATGTTTCATTACCTAGTTTCTGTCCTCATCCAGTCAACACATATCAATTTCATCAAATGTTTGGTTCTCTGTCAGCATTATCCATTACAATAGATGAAGACAGCTACACAATGAAAACACCAGAAGCTGTATCCTGTCCTCCAGTCAAACCACTGCTTGATGTACCAAAGCTCATCATTACAGTTGAAACTGGGTGTCAATACTTATTAAGAAGAGTTGCCTGTCTCAGTGATGAAAAAATCTGGACATGTGGTAATGAAAAAAATTTAAAACTCTACAACCTACAGAGTACACTATTGAAGTCAATCCAAACTAAGTCAGGAAACATACCGGGTGACATAACAGTGACAAAGAGTGGAGATTTAGTTTACACCGACCCTGATACAAGAACTGTAAACATAGTGAAGAATGACCAGATACAGGAAGTGATCAGATTACAGGGGTGGAAACCTCACTATGTCTGTAGTACCTCCTCTGGTGACCTCCTGGTTACCATGGTCAGTGATGATGACAAACAAGCAAAAGTTGTCCGTTACATTGACTTCAAACAGAAACAAACCATTCAGTATGACAGTGAAGGTTACCCTCTGTATTCATCTTTTTACATAAATACAAATAAATACATTACTGAAAACAGGAATTTGGATATCTGTGTAGCTGACTGTGAGGCCCACGCAGTAGTGGTGGTTAACCAGGCAGGAAACCTCCGATTTAGATATACCGGTCGTCCCTCTAATACCAGGGGAACATTTAATCCATACAGCATCACAACAGACAGTCAGAGTCAGATCCTGACAGCAGACTTTAGTAACCACTCTATCCACATCCTAGATCAGGACGGACATTTCCTTTCTTACATTGATAACTGTGACATAGAGCTTCCATATGGTTTATGTATAGACACCAGTGACAACCTCTTTGTGGCTGAGTATGACAGTGGTTACGTGAAGAAAATCAAATATATGTCAACAATGTTTTAACAATAACGACACATTTGTGAATGGAATTGTTATGAATCACATAGTGCTTGCACTAATATTATCAAAAAATATATAACTGTTGGTATCATTATTCTACCCAAAGTTGAAATGACTGTTTAATAAATAGAGCTCCAGGTAACTTATATACAGTGTATCTCATTGTTAATATTATCACCAAGTTCATTCATAAGAAATAAATGGAGCGGACACAAATTATGATTTTTTTTCATTTTTGTGACTTTGAACTCGCCCAGATGACTTTCCGTTAAGGATGTATTCTTCTGAAAAAAACCTGCATTAAACTTTCCACATGCTTATATTTTTCTGAAAGTGTAATATCCAAGGAAAAATTTAGAGACAAGAAAAGTGTATGTTATTGTTCATCTAAGAGAGATTCAACCCCTCTAACATATGCCAAATAGAGCATGGAAAATTTCATTAAAATAGCTATTAGACCATAAAAATAACTCATAAACTTATAAATACAATCAATTTAAACCTAATATGGCCTAAATTTACTTGAAAGTATTGCATAGTCAATTTTTTAAGCAACATACGAGCAAATAAACTCCAATTGGATAGCTTGTACCCAAAAATGTTGTACACCGGTGTGAAAATTAGGCAAATTTTTCCCCATAAAATTGCTCAAAAAAACCAGAGAAAACATATTTCAACAAATAAACGTTTTGAGAAAATTGTTGTACAGTTGTTCAGGTATTATTATAGTTCCTTCTCATAGTATAAAAAGTAGTGGTTAGTGTACATATAAGAAAATTTTGATATTTTTTATATCCCCACCCCGTATTTCTTTTTCAGCATTATTATAATGAAAATAAATCAAGGCATTTAGGCTTCAAAGTGTGCGTTTTATTCACCAAATATTCAAAATTTGTGTGATAAATTTCGGTTATGATTGCAATTTTGTTTAAAAAAGCTTTTATGAACAAAAAGTAATTATTTATCACATAAAACTTCAAAATCATAGTTTGTTAGATGTCCTCTCTTTCTCTTACACTGTGGGTTCTTGATTAGGTTCTGGTTTGTGGTGTTGGATGGTTGCTTCCCTGGGATTAGACAAATCCAGTCCCACTTTCTCAATCTTATTTGCATGGTTTTTCTCCATCTAGTTTTAGTGATTCTAAAAACATGCTCTCTTCTAAAGTTTTTCATTTGTGATTCTTGTGACAACAAGACTTACCTGAAAAAAATTATTTTAGAAGAAAATACACACATGTAATTACTTGTAATTTCATTGTTCAAAAAATGTAAATTCATTATTTTGTCTATCTTACTTTGTTTTTATAAACCCTAGCCTATAGTTTAGAATCAAATAATTCCTATGATGTTTCAGAAATATTCTATTTTTCAACACGAATAGGCCGCCATAGAAGGAAGCGACCTAGTTTCTTATCGAATGTCAACAGCTAAAAAATTAGAGATGTTATCTTGTTATTTTTCGTACGGTATGTCTATAAATTTGGGATATAGATATTCTGCATTTACAATATCAAATGAAATTTATCATATACTACGACTAGTACGAGCTAAAGTTGTAATAATCAAAGTACTGAAAGTACTGAAAAGCGGTTAGCATGCTTTCATCTAATATGTACCGAAAAAGTGCATAAAATGATGATATTTAAATACGCATATCTTTGTCCAATGTCATCAGAGAAGAAAAACCCAGACATTCCGTTTTTGTAATACTTTACTCAATAGTAAAACCAATAACATTCCAAACTGATGTCACAGATGGATGCAATCTAATTAAAATTAGATGTTCCGAATCCGCTACTGCTTCTCAAACATCTAACAACATCCTATTTGGGGTCATGTAAGAGTGAATCTTCGATTAGGCAAAGAAAATGGTTCCTCCGAAATCCTGGCTAATAGTTCAGATGGGTTTCTTGTTTTCACCACCCAACCAAAACACCCGAGGAGTTTTGTAGTAAAAAGATATGCATTGCAAAAGTTGTGTTATGTATGACGTGTGGGGTATCTTGTATAGTCTGTGCTCTTTCGTTTGCATTATTCACGTTTAGATGCCAGACTGCAGAAGATACATGAAATTTATTCCAAAATTACTTTAATTCAACGTAAGACAGTATCAATAATGATGATATGTAGCCGTGGAATTAATTTGAGAACTGTTTACCGAGGCTTGAATCTACATGGCCAAAGTGTTTGTGTTTACTTGTACATGTATTCATAATTGAAAGGTCGCTCTGATGTGACCCCGAATGGGATGTTAGATGTTTCAGAAGCGGGAGCGGATTTGGAACATTTAAATAAATTTTAATAAGATTGAAATGCATGTTTCAAAATTTAAACATGAGATATCTTCAGTTTGAAAGACAGGAAGTGCATTTTTAAAAATTCTCTCTTGATGGCATCCAATTGTTCTCTGGATAAAAAAAATTATGTTGATGTTGAAAATTTCATTGTCTTTTATTCTCTATTGAATCTGAAATTAGGTAATTGTAAAGCCTACTATAACAAACAACTAAAAAAATGACAAGTTAAATTCTTTAGATTAATGGATTTTGAGTAGTGTAGATCTACAGCTGGCTAGTCAGAGAAAAAAGGATGGCTGAGGAGAGACTTTGTAAATGAATTGATATCAGAGAGATTCAGTTGTGTAGGCTCATCGCGGCAATATAATTAACCTGTCAACGAGGGATGCTTACTTTTTCTAGGCAACGGATCCCACCTCTTGAACTTTCAGGAGTCAGCTTTTCTTCTAAAATCGATCATTCTGTATTTTGATACAGATACTCAATACTTCCTTTAGTAATATTATAAACTTCTACTTCTACGGGAAGACTGGCGAGTAAACAAGATTATCAAGCTTTATGAAATATATTTTATTGACCTTTCAAACAAGTAAATGTTCGAATAAAGTAAATGGTATATGAGAATCTTTTGAAAGAAGTCTTGCACAATATAAGGCACAATATCTAGATAAGGACATATAAGGTGTTTTTATCATATACTCTTCATGCAATATTGTTCTCAAATAAAACATGAAAAAGAAAGTTATGTAATCAATCAATACTAGTATTTAAAAATTCAAATGTACATTAAAAACAGTGTAACTTAAGAAGTTATCAGTGTCACTTTCTTCAATATGTCGGTTAAACAATATACACTGATTTCTTTTCTATCAATGTGCCTCTAAACACCTGTATATTAATTTTATTCTTCTCAAACGTTTAAAACAATAATCGACAAATTGGACAAATTCAAATTTTAAAAGTATTTTCACAGCTAATAATACGTTCCCTAGGAATTGATCAAATTTTCAAAACTTATAAATAAGAATTAAGTATATATTTTAAATTTTTGCTAATTGCCAAAATTTTTCATACCTCATTCTTCTCTGAAAATAATATCGGTTGATTTTTAGATGAGGATCACAATGCTGATTAAAATTAATATATATTTCTCCATTTTTTTTTCAAAATTGATTTTACTACTTTAAGTGCTCCATTATTTTTTACAAAACTAATAGTAAGTAATCCCTTATGATCGATTGTTATAAATTATCAAAGACGGAGTAGAGAATTTATCCCTGGGAGCAGAGCTTTTATAATCTGTTTATTAGACAGAGAAGAAAAGAAAAGAAAAACAAACGTTTCATAGTAGAGGTAACCCTTGTTTCCATAAAACGTTACAAAAAGTGTAAAACTTACAGATGCGTTCGGTGTTTTTATAAAAGCGCTTTTCAGGTATTAACTTAATAAATGGTGTTTCTTAATACTTTGGCAAGGAAAATCAAACTCGATCGAGAGATTTGCTGATGTTTTTGCAGTCTGTAATAACCTCCAACCTGCTGTATAATAAACTTTCAAAAATAAACTAACAGTTGCCAGAAATCGCGATCGCGCGATACACATGTAATAAGGACCAAATTCTGTTCTTAAAAGTAAGTGTTGTAAGTATTGTCAATGCTTTGGTAAATATACTAATAAGAATTCGATATAATCGTTATAATAGCCACTCTTCATACACAGCATATACTTCGTTAGTACGAAGTGATATACATGTAGTAGGGGCTGGCTTTAGTCAGACTTCACAGCATATTGTCAATCTCTAACCAGGGGGCGTATTACGCCGACAGTATACAAATCATTTGCTGAAGTTACCGTTGTCGATAGGTAGGTCCTTGTGGAAGTTTCCGGTTTTGGTTGCAGAAGGATAAGGTTACAAGCGATAAAGCGATGCCGATAGGTAGCGCCTTATGGAGGTTTCCGGTTGCCGACACATGCCATATAGCGGCTAGCGAAGCTAACCGCTTAAAAAGGATAATGCAAATGCTGTCGTCTGCACAAATCTGAAAACGTTCCGTACATATATGTGACATGTTTATGCAATATTCCAGTTTGTGATATGACAGTATACTGTAACATGTTATGTTTATTCGTTTTGCTATTACGAATAGCGTTTATACATTAATGTATTTATTCGTTTTGTCTAGTAATAAATGGTAGTTTTGGTTATCGTTCATGGCTGTAGTTCTTGCCAACGTGCCTGGGGATTTTATATGCACATTGCATTAGTAACCCACTAAGTTAAACATGGTGTCAGATGCGGGATTATAGAAGAGGATTACAGGATTGAGCAGTACTGTTTTTCTCGCCATATCTTGAGTATATATAGTGCATATTTCGATTTGTTCGATTTGGCGCGCTGCATCGTGATTACGACAGCCGGGTCGGGAAATGGCGCTCGAACGATTGACACCCCCTGGTAAAATAAAGTTCAACACTAAGAATATTAGTGAAGACTGGAGAAAATGGAGAGAAGAATTTGAACTCTATTCATCTCTATCGATGAAGGATGGAGAAGACAAAGCTAAGTTACAATTACTGAAATATTTGATCGGCGCTGATGGCAGAGAAATTTACAGTACTCTGAAGTTTGAAAAAGAAGAAAAGTACAGAAAATTGAAAGACGTCATCGAAGCTTTTGACGCTTACTGTAGACCCAAAAGAAACGAAACAGTAGAGAGATTCAGGTTCAATATGAGGAAACAGAAACAAGATGAGACAATAGAAACTTTTATTACTGATCTTAAAACATTAGCTGCAAAGTGTAACTATAGAGAAATAGTTGATTCACTAGTGAGAGACAGAATAGTTTGCGGTATACTTGACTCACACCTGAGAGAATGTTTATTAAGAACACCAGAACTTACCCTGGATAAGTGTGTCGACATAACGCGTGCAGCAGAAATCACAAAACAAGGAATTATTGTATTGGACGGCAACAACAATTCGTTAAGCAGCCATGCAGAAAATGTCAACGAAATCGGCAGAGGTAAACCTAGTACAAATACAACTGGAAGTAAACATTCACACACAGATAACAACAAATTTTGTAAATATTGTGCCAAAGTACATGAGCCCAAGAAAGAAAAATGTGCGGCATATGGAAAGACGTGTCGACTGTGCCATAAAATGAATCACTTCGAAACAGTATGCAGAAGTGCTACCAAGAAATCACAACCAAAGTACAAGAAGAAAACTATGCATCACATTGGGACAGGTTGTTCAGACACCGACAGTGATGATGACTATTTAGTTTAAACTGGACCATTCAAGAAGAAAGCACACATTCTGCACACTCAGTTTCCAACAGTGTACATTCGTCTATGATAATTCATGGAAAGAAAGTGACATTTAAACTAGACAGTGGGGCCACATGTAACATTTTACCACATACATGTAGTGTGATTCCAATCATGCCACTTCAGCCTACAAATTACACCTTGAAGATGTACAACAAATCTACCATAAGGCCGCTAGGAAAAGTACACTTTCAAGTTACCAATCCAAATAATGGTACCTCATATGACACTGAATTTATTGTGATCAAGGAGGACTGCATGTCACTCTTAGGAAATAAAACTTTACAGCACATGGAGCTCTTAAACTGGAGAAAGGAGAACATTCTAAGTGTGAGAAGGCTGTTATCATCACCTCTCAGCAAGAAGCAGCTCTTCGCAGAGTTTCCAGATGTCTTTGAAGGAGTAGGTCGTCTCGCAGGAAAATATCACTTAGTTCTAAATGAAAACATACAGCCTGTAGTTCATCCACCAAGGAAAGTGCCTATCGCACTGAAACCATTGTTAAAAGCAGAACTTGACAAACTTCAGGAAATGAACATTATTACACCAGTAAGTGAACCAATAGCATGGGTCTCCAGCTGTTTGATGGTCGTGAAAGCAAACAAAGTCAGAATCTGCATAGATCCGAAGGACTTGAACAAAGCACTTAAGAGGAGCCATTATCCACTTCCTACGATAGAGGAAATACTTCCAAACCTTTCTCGTGCAAAAGTATTTAGTGTTCTGGATGCACGTAACGGATTTTGGCATGCTGAATTAGATAAGGAAAGCTCTATGCTTACTTCATTCAACACCCCATTTGGACGATTCAGATGGTTAAGGATGCCCTTCGGTATCTCGACTGCACCGGAAGAGTATCAACGTCGTCAAGATCAGGCGGTAGAAGGACTACCAGGTGTTTTGACTATTGCTGACGACATATTGGTTTATGGTGAAGGTGACACAGAAGAGGATGCCATTGTAGACATTGACCAGCAACTGAAAGCACTCATGAAGAGATGTCGTGAACGAGGACTTGTGCTCAACAAGGACAAACTAGGACTTCGTGAGACGGAGATTTGTAGGACATCTCATAACAAAGGACGGTTTGAAGCCCGACCCTGAAAAGTCAAAGCGGTGAACGAAATGCTGAATCCAACAGATGTCGCAGGTGTGAGACGCTTCCTGGGATTCGTTAACTACCTAAGCAAGTTTCTAAGTTTGAGTGACATTTGTGAGCCGCTACGAAAGCTTAAAGTGAAAGACACATTGTGGAGCTGGCTCGAGATTCATGACATAGCAGTACAGAAAGTCAAAAGATTGGTGACGTCAGAACAAATTCTTAGCTACTACGATTCAAATAAGGAACTTATCTTACAATGTGATTCTTCGGAGACAGGATTGGGCGCAGCTCTGCTACAACTTAGGAAACCGATAGCGTACCCCAGCAGAGCCCTTACAGACACATAGACGAGATATGCCGAAATAGAAAAGGAACTTCTCGCTGTTGTGTTTGGATTAGAGAAATTTCATCAGTATACATATGGACGAAACGTTACAGTCCAAAGTGATCACAAACCCTTAGAGCCACTTCATACAGCACCGAAACGCTTACAGAGGATGCTGCTTCGACTGCAGAAATACTCAACAAAGCTAGAGTATCATCCCGGCAAGGAAATGCACTTAGCCGATACGCTTAGTAGAGCATACTTACAGAACAGTGATCATACAGGTGCACTCCTAGATGAAATAGTTCATTTCACACATATACAGCGGACGGTAGGAGATAGTCTTCAAGAAATTAGAGACGAAACTCGACGAGATAACACATTACAGGAACTCATTCTTGTAATACTTACCGGATGGCCCGAGATGGTATCTGATGTGAAGGACACAGTGCAGCCATATTTCAATTTTCGAGATGAGCTAGTCATACAGGATGGAGTTATCTTCTGCGGAGACAGAATTGTGATACCCATCAGAATGAGGCAGGACATGTTATGCAAGATTCACAAGTCTCATAGGAGTGGAAGGAAGTCTATGTCGTGCACATGAGAACTTATTCTGGCCAGGCATGAATGCTGAGACCAAAGATTTCATCAGCCGATGTGACATATGCAGATCATTAGATGACAAACAGTGCAAAGAGACACTTAAGTCACATGAAGTTCCAGATAAACCTTGGGGAAAGATTGCTTGTGACATTTTTACATTGAGAACGAAAACATTATTGCCTACTAAACAGTCATTAGTAGAGCCGGAAGTTCCAGATCTGAAGGAGCAGGGAAGGACGCTTGTGAGACTGAAAGAACGACAAGCACATTACTACAATCGTGGATCAAAGGATCTGAAACCATTGAAGATTTAAGACCTTGTGCGCATTGCACCACCTGATGGAATCGGACAGTCAAAAAAATGGAGGAAAGGGGTAGTGACCAGAGTTTTACCAAATCGCTCTAATGAGGTCCAGTCTGATGGTCAACACTACCGCAGGAATAGACGACATCTAAGACCCAGCAAACATCAGGAACAGTCGGAAAGTGATGATATAGCCCTTGAGGATTACCGAGAGACACGTGTCGAACAAGAGAAGCCAATTCAAATGTCTGACTCAAAACAGATGATCGAGTCCGCCAAAGAGCAGGATTCATTAAAGGCACCGCAGACATTCACCAGATCAGGACGCGATATGAAAGTGCCCATCCGATTCAATGACTATGTAAAGTAACATTGTCAGTGCATTATTTGTGTTTATGAAATTATGTTTGGTAAGTTGTGAATAGGGCATAATAATCCCTGGCTTACCAATTTTGAGCAAGAGCTCAAATTATTATCATCTGTACTGTATTATGTCTGTATCTGAAGTTGAAAATCATAATTCATACATCTTGCATTTACAAGTCAATGCAAAGCTACATTGATGATTTCTTTGAACACAATCATTTTGAAATTTGATCTTGACTAATTGGACAATGAAAGAAACTTTACAAAGGAGAAAAGATGTAACATGTTATGTTTATTCGTTCTGCTTTTACGAATCGCATTTATACATTTATGTATGTATTCGTTTTGTCTAGTAATAAATGGTAGTTTTGGTTATCGTTCATGGCTGTAGTTCTTGCCAACGTGCCTGGGAATTTTACATGCACATTGCATTAGTAACCCACTAAGTGCAACATATACTAGGTAATTTAAAAATTTTGTGTCTATAATACATAAACATTGTTATTTTCAATAAGTTTGAAAGCATGAGGAACCTACAGTTTCGCTTTTCCACTGCTACTGGAACGTCATCAACACACTTCGGCGCTCTAGGTTGGCATGTTTGGGGCGCCGCTTTCGAGAATGTACAGCGCTATGACAAAAGTATTCGCGATTTTTCAAAATGGCGGACGTAAACACGATGCGCTTCGTAAAAATAAACAATAAATTGTGAAACAAATAACAGACTTACCTTTATTAATACTTGGTAAGGTGGCCCTTACACTTGATTACTGCTAATAGTCTGCAGGGAATAGATTCATACAAGGATTTGATATAGTTTTCGTCGAAGGAAGTCCAGATGTGAAAAATAGCATCGAAGAATTCTTCCGGAGTATTTATGTTTGGAGCTCGATTTGCAGAGTTTTCTTGATTTTTAGCCATAAATTCTCTATGATATTAATGTCCGGTGATTGAGCTGGCCATACAATTGTAGGAATATTATTTGTTGTTTGTAATCTACAGTAATAAGAGCTCTATGGACGGGGGCGTTGTCGTCTAGAAAACGATAGGTTTTGTTGAGGAAATGTCGGGCAATGACGGGCCAAAGCATTAATATTTTCATTGACCATGCAAAGTGTACCAACCCGGTGGTAAGTGATGCATCCCACACCATTACTGAAATCCTTCTCTGCCGAGGGGGGGGGGGGGGGGGGGGGGGCACATGCACTGCGGCAAGTACGATTCTTTAGATGTTCTCCACACATACACTCTATGATTCTCTCCTAAAACTATCTGACTTTCATCAGAAAATATAATTGTGTTCCAATTATTATACACTGTGAGTTTTCTTTTCTCTAAACACCATGCAACACGCCTTAATCTGTTGATCTCGGAAACGACCATTTTTTTTCCTAACAACTCTTCGCTTATAATCATGATCACGTAAAGTTCTTTGGACTGTCCGTGGATTAACAAAGTCTTTAGCATCGATGTTTTCATTAAATTCATTAGTAATATCCTTTAAAACCTGTCCTCTGTTAGTTTTAGTATGTCTAATAATCCAGTTCTTATCTCGTTTGACAGCTTCTTCCGAGGGCGTCCTTTTCTTATCAATGTTTTGACTTCACCAGTTGACAAATATTTTTTCCAAATAGATCTGATGGTTAACTCAGGTATTTGTAATAAATTCACAATAACTAATGTTTTTGCCCCTCCTTTTTCATTTCCAAAATTAATCTTTTGACATCATTAGATATTTCTGTAGATTTCCTACCCATCTTTATATCTGTGTGTTTACATAAAATCCAAAAAAGCAGACGAGAAAAATACTTACATATAATGTCACTTCCGATGTAAAGACAACTCTGTAAAAATTCCGTATGTCAACACGGCATCTAATTAGAGTTATTGCCCATTCCCCGAGCGAGGTGCAGAGCAAGAAAGACGCCATTGCGTAAAAATCGCGAATACTTTTGTCATAGCGCTGTACATAGCCTGATTGTGATATCGGCGATTTTTAAAATGTTTTCAAATTTCTGTCAACTTTTTTAACAAGAATAACTTTAACGGAGTGTCATTTGTCATTCCTGTCGCTTTAGAGGGGCGATCCCGTCTTCTTCCTCTCTCGATCATGTCGATTTAACTTCTAGGTCTATGTCGTAGATATTGTAATTTTGCACACGTATTGGTCATCAATACAACATATAACGATTTTTTTAATTTAAAAATAAATATAGTTAAACATGTAAATCATAAAAACTTTAAAGACTTGTTTGTAAATTGTTATCAGTTTCAATTTTACGACATGTCTAAGTACGAAGACTCACTTGGGGTAAAATGATCAGAAGAATTCATCCTTAACATCCTCACATCCTTAACAATCTTTATGTGATTTTGAAGATTCTAATGTTCCTCAGCTAGAACAATATGGACAGTGCACGTTTGTACACACAGACAGACAAGAAGATTCCTTTACAGAAAAATTAGACATGGTCAGGGTATGGAGTATCTGAAATATGATTTTTTACAGATGACGTAAATATAAAGTTAACTAGTGCTAATTGTAACGGGAACCGTTACAGATGTTCCCCAAACGCTCCCCAACTCCCTTTTGGTGCCATATTCCCTGTAAGCCTTATTAAATAAGACATATGTGCATTTTTGACTTTAACAACGTTTTCCAAAAAGGATACCAATTATATTAAAATTTTAACATTGCACGCGTGCCCATGTGATTGCACGTGCATAATGATCATATGATCTTGTCTACACTTTCTATATATTTATATATACTTTATATTAAAGCATTTAGTCCAAAAGTATTAAAAATCACCCATTCAAGTGTATTTTGAATTTCACTCGTTCCAAATGCACGCACGTGCGTGCACGTGCATGATGACCATACTTTCTTGTAGGAGGCCCTCATATCTATCTATGTTCTAAATCCCAACCTGTTTGGTTGAAAACCAAGGGAATTATAGCCATTTCAATTTTCAGCCAATCAGATTGCAGCACATGTGCATCCACGTGATTTCAAGAATTTTTTTCTAAATCATATTGTAGAATATCCTAATGCATGACTATGTTTTAAATTTCAAAGCATTCCGTCAAAAATCAAAGGAGATATAGCCATTTAAAGTTTCAGCCAATCAGATTGCAGCACACGTGCATGCGCGTGAGTTCTTGAAATTTTTTGTATATCATATTGCAGGATATCGTAATGCATGACTATGTTTTAAATTTCAAAGCATTTCGTCAAAAACCAAAGGAGATATAGCCATTTAAAGTTTCAGCCAATCAGATTGCAGCACACGTGCATGCGCGTGAGTTCTTGAAATTTTTTGTATATCATATTGCAGGATATCATAATGCATGACTATATTCTAAATTTCAAAGCATTTCGTCAAAAACCAAAGGAGATG